GTTACGACTCACACATTCCCTCCACCAAGTCTTGAACAAGCAACGCTCCCCAACAGTGCCTTACAAACAAAACACGCGTGGCCGATACTTTGAACCCCTAAAATTATACTGGTTGTCTGGAACCCTTTCAAACGCACACAGACACCCGCAGAGTCATCCAGGAACAACCCCACCACCCCACATAACTGCCATATACCGTTCGAAATCTTGGGACTCTCGAGTACAAATCAGCAAATATCCCCACGATGCAGGGCGCGACGGTACAGGCGCCGGGTCTGTCAACCTACCTGAAGTCACTAAAGAGTACTCCAGTAGATGCCTCAGTGGAGCATTTCATCTCGTGAGACACGACTTTCCGCGCAGTAGCGCAACCACAACTAATATCCCTACCTCAGACTTCTCAAACGACGACAAATACGAAATTCGAGACCATGCGCCATTGCGACTACGGCCCTTCTTCTGCGCGTAGTGGGCGAGTTCAAGGGCAGGGATGCCGCCAAGCTCATTGAGCGCATAAAGCAAGTCGGCAGGCGGTTGACATCGGCGCAACCACACGAGGTGGTGGTGGGAAACATCGTACGGCGCGTACTGGGACTGGTGCGCGAGGTGGTCGACGAGCATGCCGAAGGGCAAACACCAACAGGCAGCGAGCCAGGCTACTCAACACCACATGCACACGCGCAGCACGATTCTCTCCACAGACCAGCGCTTAACTCGAGCATTTCCACATTCAGCCCTCTCCGGCATGCCGTTGCCGAACCCATGCCCACGAGCGTCTTCACCGACAACGCCTCCGACGTTAGCGAGCCCTCGAGACGGCCCCCGTTGCTCACCTCACACACCTCGTACGCGCCTACCTCGTCCGCTCCCCTCGTCCACTCGCTCTTTGGCCTCTTCTCCCAACCAGCAGATACACCCTCAACTACAAGCACCCCTACAGGGCAGGCGTCGCCAAATGGCAAGAGCACGCTGACGGCACTCAATCTGGAGCGCCTCGAGGGCATCAACAAGAGCCAAAATCTGGACCTGAAGGGCGAGGTCATGGAGGGCATAAGAGAACTTCAGGACGAACTCGAAACCTCAGACAAGCAGATTGCTGAAGTCGCCCTCGAGCACATCCACGCCAACGAAATTATCCTCACCCACACCGCGTCCACAACAGTACAGAAGTTCCTTCTGTTTGCCGCACGAAAACGCAAGTTCACAGTCGTGCACGCCGAGACGTATCCCCACGACCACACTGCCACGCATGGTATCCTTCTTACAGGCAAGAAGCGAGAAGCGAATCCAGATGACGACGAGGACGACGACAAGTGGAAGCCCCTCACCGATGCTGGTATCCAAGTCTACGTCATCCCAGACTCCCATGTCTTCGCCATAATGTCCCGCGTCAACAAGGTCATTCTGGCCACCCATACCGTATTAGCCAACGGCGGTCTGGTAGCCGCAGCTGGAGCACACATGATTGCAAAGGCTGCAAAGGAACACCAGACACCTGTTGTCGTGCTCAGTGGTGTATACAAGCTCAGCCCGGTCTACCCATTCGACATCGACGAGCTGATCGAGCACGGTGACGCCGGAAGTGTAGTTCCCTACGACGACGGCGAGTTCGTCGACAAGGTCGATGTTGAGAACCCACTGTACGACTATGTTCCCGCAGACCTTGTGGATCTCTACATCACCAACCTGTAAGTCGCGATTTGAACAGCTCGATGCATTGAATGTAAGCTAACGTCTTGTAGTGGCGGACACGCACCTTCATACCTCTACCGCATCGTAGCAGATCACTACCGCACCGAGGACATCACCTTGTAATTCAACCATGAGCCATGGCGTTATGATACCAACAAAAGTTAAGATGGGAAGCAAAGTGCGCACAATAGCCCATGTTACATCATCTAGAGAAGGAAACTCTGCGCTTGCAACATGCAGTGGCCGAAACCAATGAACATTACTACAAACGTATCGCCCATTCAGCTCACAGCACGTATGCGACCATCTTCATCATCGCCGACCCGTGCCCTCGCCCTCTGCCCGACCAACTAACATCTCCTACACACCCTTCTTCCCAATTGGCCGCGCCTTTGTGCCCCTCTGCAAGCACCCGTATCCCGCAGATCACCGACCCAATTCATTGGTCACCTAAGCTCTAGCAGTGTGCCCTTCGGCCATCTGAAATCAACGGTTTTTGTCAAAATTACCACGTTGGGCAGTTTGGCGGTCCGTCAGGGTGGGCCGGCGGGGCGGAAGGGCACAGTGGCGTTCTTAGTAAACAAGTACGGAGTCGCGATGTGCCCTTCGAGCCCTTGCGCGTGGGACTCGTCTTACTTTTGTTGAGATTTGGCCGTAGGCGCAGACACCTCATACCCAAAACGCCTGATGAATTAGGCTAGTTCGTAGAAGCGGTACAATTGTTCTTCGCGTATTCTAGCTCCAGCTCCCTCGAGCTGGGGTGTGCGGAAGAGGGGTCGATGTCCCCTCCACATGCTCAACTGAGCCTCGCTATCGCCATCTGCACTCAGGATTACGTATACACTTCCATCTCGATTGCGCGCGGAGAAATAACAGTATGCGACAAGTGCTAGCCGTTGCCCTCTTCGGAAGCTCCTCAAGGTGATAACGTAGGGCTTATCGTGGGTGCCGGGTCGGCTGTTGCTACATTACGTATGCGGGCGCGCATCTTGTGGAGCTGAGTTGATAGAGTAACAGCCTGAACTTGAACATCTGGCCGCAGAAGCAGTGAAGGCGTCGTCAAGGTGCATCATGTCGTTTCTCGAACTTGGGGGGTTGCATGTGTTTGTTACTGGGGCCGCCGGAGGAATTGGTAGTGCGATTGTAGATGAGTTCCTAGGTATGTAACGGTCTTGTGCCTTTGATGGTTGTCGGAGAGTCTTTGCACATTGAGTGAAGTCTGCAGGTTCCATGATAGGCTCAGGGTCTCTGTCAAGTCACCCTGCGGTGGAAGGCACTCTCTAGGGCTTCGGCCTACAAGACAAGGAATCAACGCCATCATCTTAATTGATGTTTCTACTCTTATGCAACCGTCACTAACGCCTGCATAGCACAAGGCTGTAAAGTCACTGCACACGATCTTCGCCCAAATCCTCTCGCCTCAACAAACCCCAACCTCCATTGCCTCCAAGGCGACATCAGTTCCGAAGCCTCCATCCAGGACTCCATATTCCAAGCTATCCACCATTTCTCGCAGCCTATCAGCATTCTCTGCGCCAACGCAGGCATCACAGATGAATCTTCCAGCTATCCTATCTGGGATATGCCCAGTGAGCTCTGGGACCGCACCTACGCTATCAACGTGCGTGGCACGTACCTGACCATTAAGCACTTCCTCAAATCCATCGAGAAATCACAAAACGACACTGGCAAGGAAATCGAAAATGTCAGTGTCGTTGTGACGGGGTCCGAATGTGGAGTCTTTGGTCAGGCAGGTCATGTGGAGTATGCGAGTGGGAAAGCAGGGCTACAATACGGTCTTGTGAAGACAGTGAAGAACGAGATTGTTAGGCTGAATAAGAGCGCCAGGATCAATGCCGTCGCGCCCGGATGGGTGGAGACCAAGTTGATTGAAGGGAGGTTGGACGACCCAGGGGAGATGTGGAGGGAGGCGAAGGCTACGTGAGTCTGACGCTCATACTGACTCTCCGATATTTTGCTAACAATTGCAGTGTACCACTCAGAAAAATCGCTCAACCGACTGACGTAGCGAGAGCTGCTGCTTTCCTGGCAAGTCATCACGCTGCAGGTCACATCTCCGGACAATGTATATCTGTGGATGGTGGTATGGAAGGTCGCATTGTGTGGTCCGAGGAAGAAGTTCGCAAATCACAGGGAACTGCTGTCGAGCCCGAAACGCCGTCTCTCAACGCAACTGGTGAGGCCGAGATATTTGGTACCGCAACCGAAGGAGTCTCTCTAGCTAGCAGGACCCCCTCAGCAATGGCTATCCCAACCATGTCATCTCTTGGCAGCTCTCAACCAAAACAGAAGCCGAAGATCAAGATCCTGCTCTCTGTGGATTTCGACGCAGTATCGGGCTGGCTTGGTACCGGCCAACACCCCGATAATAACCTTGCGGACTACAGTACTGGCTTCTTCAGTGGCCACGTCGGAGTTCCACGACTACTCAAGCTCTTTGCGAAGCACGGCATCGCGAACAAAGTAACCTGGTTTGTGCCGATGCATAGTGCAGAATCTTTCCCTGGAGAGTTCGCCGCCATTAAGAGCAGCGGCGCGGAGATAGGCTTACATGGTTATTGCCACGAAGGCGCCCCTCAGCTTACGCCCACCCAAGAACGCGAAGTTCTCGAGCACTGTATAAGCCTCTACCAGGAACTACTAGGGAAGCGCCCACTGGGATATCGCGCACCGCTCTATCAACTCCGCGAAAGTACCGTGGAATTACTAGAGGAGTACTCTTTCCTCTATGACACCTCACTCTCCCACCACGACAGCACACCATACTACCTCCCCAATCTCCCACCCATCAAAGCGCCAAAGTACACCGAAGAGGCCTCCGCGAAAGACTGGATGAAACCCCTGCCTAAACCCAGTGCGTCCACAACTAAAACTCTCGTCGAGATTCCGGCAAACTGGTACACGGAAGATATGACGCCGCTTCAGTATCTTCCCAATGCACCCAACTCGCACGGCTACGTCGACGTTCGCGTCATGGAGAATATGTGGAAGGATAAGTTTGAGTGGATTAGGAGCGAAATGCTTGAGAGTAATGGGGAGAAAGATGTAGTGGTTTTCCCGTTGGTCTTGCATCCGGATACCAGTGGTATGGCGCATGTTATCGGCATGATTGAGAGGGTGATTAAGTGGCTGAAGGCGTGGGAAGGAGACGTGGAGTTCTGCACTTATGAGGAGGCAGCTGGGGAATGGAAGGAGAAGAATGCTGTAGAATGATTGGGATGCATCAACCTGAACATATAAATACAATTCTGGTATCTTACACATCGTCGGTCTCATAACTCCTTCATCTACTCCGAATTCTCCTCGTCATACAGTCTAATCACGCGTCCACCCTGCTCCGCAGCTTCCTCCCACTGTTCATCACCCCCTACTCCAATACTCTTGACGTTCAGCGTAATGAGACTAGAGCGGAAATCTGATCGTGCAGTTAGTCTAGGCGCCGTTTCTACATCTTCATAGCCCTCGGATGGCGTCACAAGAATCACGGTCTTGTCTTTGAGTGTCTGATCATCCATGATGACGAATTCCGTGCCTACGATACCATATCCTGCGCCTTCGAATTGCCATGCCAACTTGACTAAGTCGTTCAATCCCCAGTTTAGGAATGGATAGGAGAGGTTTTGCGGCACTGGGGCGCGCGTGGGCGAAGTGAGTTTGGTGATATCGGTCGTTTCGACGAGAATGGCTGGATGATCTTGATTAGCATGTGTTTCGCTTGAGAGTGTACTTGTTCCGTTTACCTATATGAGTGCAATCCACGGCCTTTAGCTCGGGCGCCTCGAAAGCCTCAATGAAAAACTCGTTAAGAAGCTAAGAATGATGTCAGTTATTTGCACCTTTTGGGATAATGGATCGTGGTTGTAACATCGCGAGGTATTCTTGCTGTGCAAAATATGGGAATAGTGTTATCCAGTTGATCGTTGTTCGCCATATTGCGTGCTACTACAGGTTTGGATTCACCTGGACTCGATCAGTTCCGACTTCCTTCTTCTGTCTGTCTGATCCATATATTTGACAGCCAAAAAGCCACCCTAGAACTTCTGAGAAAGAAAACCGATGTGTGTTTGTGTGCAGTGGATTACAGTCGTTGCTACCTAGGTACTGCTTATGGCTTTAGCCTAAAGTCGAATGATCGTGTAGCATGTGATCATCCATCGCCGCCATCTTGCTCTCATCAGTCAAGGTGTTTTATACGATCAAGGCGATCTACATTTGCGTGAGCTAACGAGAAACTAGGTAAGATTGGGTGCTCAGCTACTACAAGATTTGGACAGTGCACGTGTCTTCGCATTTGCTTGACCAGGAAAAATTTACGTACTTCTCTGCACCGGCTCAAATCCAAGGCCATATACCCAAAGACGCTGCCCTGAAATTTGACCTGAATGTGAATGCGAAGATCCTTCTTTCCAAAAGCCAGCTTAAGAGTGTCGGCGATTTCATGGTCGCTAAATTGCGAACAGGGTTCGCCCTCATCAATACAATAGACTGCGAGAACATGCTTCAGTGATGGAAAAAATCCAGTGTACATGTGTTCTCCAAACAGCTTCCCTAGAGACTCGCCATTATAGATATCTGCGAAATAGCACCATCGCTCCACCTCGTAACCGGGCATCTGAATCGATTGGATTGAGTTCCAAGGCTCTAAGTTGAGACAAATATTGCCCTCTTTTATATCATCGAGCACAAAGGTACTGATATCGAACACGGCCATTGTGTGGAAAGTTGAAGATGCTTCGTGGCGGAGTTGGCGACAGGTAGACAGTAGCGCTAGAGCTCCTCGGTGAATGCGAGCAAGAGCGTGTGGATGCGGCATTCTCATGCGGACTTGATTATCTGAGCACAAGTATTCGTAGACATTATTGCGGAGTTCGGCGGGGAGACGAAGTAGAGGTGAATTGCGCTGGTTCTTGGTTGTCCTGGGAGATCAGTAAAGGCCCTGGGGAAGAACCACGGAATTTGATTTGCTTACTTGTCCTCGAAGACAGCACAATATCTCATAGCGACATCGACGTCCATGATTGTGGATTAGTTTGAGAGTTACGTGTTGGTCGGTACGTCTAAAGGTCACGAAGTGTAGGACCTGGGTGGAGACGAGCAAACGGAGCTAGCGCAAAGACAGTCAGTCTCACTCTTGCCCTTGACGCTCTGTAACACAACTATAATATACGACAAGCGCCAAGTAATAGAACACCGACTAGAGAACTGTTGCAAAAATGAACAAAACGGCCTCTTTGAGAGTTTGCTCTGAGATTCCTGCCATGTCATACGCGAATACTTAGGTGAGGCAAAACGAGCCGTGGAAGTAAACATAATATGCGGTGAGTCTCATGGTTACTTGCATTCCGGCCGCATTGATACTACAGACTCTCGTCTTCGACCTATATCCGTGCCAACTACCTAGGCAGGCGCATCTCTACCCTCAATAGGCTATGTATAAGCACTTCACCTGATTGTCCATGGCAAGAACACCCCGTATCCTCTTCTACTTGTTCCTGCCATTCCCTACACCGACGACTGTCACCTCGCACGGCTGGCATCACGTACCTTGCTACCTCTTCTTTCAGGGGAGCAGTGAGTCTACTGATGACGTTATCCCTGGAGCACTTCGGGTGGACATATTCGATTTCGACTCGCAACCTTGCCATTGATGCAAGAGGTAGACTTCGGAGAAACGGCAGCGACGGCTTGCACTCAGCACTGCTATACCGATAGAGTGCCGGAACTCTGAGGTCTATCCTGATCTCGATTTGTCGCAGTTCTACCATGCGTGGGAAGAGCCTAGCCAGGGTTTCGTACTGCATGCTGTCAGTGTTGAACTGCAGAGTCATCAGCGAACCTTCTTCTTGATACACGCCCTCCGTCGTCAGATTCATTACCGTTAAAAATCTCGCACGGGAGATTGTAGGATGCCTGCGTTTGCGATGCGTTTGCATGAGGCCTTGGGCGTGCAGTACGTCGTAGCGAGTATCCATGTCCATGTTGAAGCGAGCCAGATGGTAAAACTGCTCGGTAGCCTCCCGGTACATTTGCTTGCTTGAGCACATCCACGTTATCTGGTCTTTGTATGTATCTCGAATAAAAACCTTCTGGCCCTGGTATGTTACTCTGAGATGAGCTTTACTAACCATGAAAGCGTCGCATGAACTCCCAAGTGCGTGACGATAGATCTCGTTTCTTATCTCACGCGGGAGAATATCAAAGAAAGGACAGCTTGTATCATGTGAGGGATTCGCGTCGGCCGAACAGTTCTTGGTGACGTGTCTGCTTGGTTGAGTGGGGTTGGTCCTTAACCGGCAATTAGTGTTCCCGTCGCTATATGCGTCGCTCAGAATACCTAGGGTGTCTTCCAGATGGACCGGATAAGCGATGCGTCTCAGCTCTCGTGTGCTCGGCAAGCGTTGGAGTTCCAGGGGCATGTTGTGCTTCGAGGTGATTGAGGAGGTGGGATGTCTCTGCGAAAGAAGCGTGGATTAGGACTAGAGAAACTGAAGGGAACCAGACGGGTCGCGTTATGTAGGAACAGGAATGGATAATATTTTGTGAAGATAAGTAAGATCCAAAAGATGGTAATGGAGAAGACACAGCTTCCACCAGGACAAGAGATTAGACCGAATTTATAGTTCAGCTTCTGTACGAAGCCCCAGGCTACAGTCACAAAAACGACTCGGGTTTTTCGCAATTGCCGTTGCTATATGGAACGCGATATTTGGATCAATCAGGCGCCAGCTAGGCCTCGTCGGAGGCACGTGTGACTGCATTTCGTTGGCGGAGAAGATCTCGAGAGGTAGCAAAAGGTTGAGCCGCCCATACTGGATGGGAAATTGCTCTAGCCGAAGATTCTTGTAACGCAGGTAGAAAATTGAACACTTTCATGATTGCAAAGTCGAGTGATACAGTCGCAGATGATGCATGCAGGTCCAGCGCGCTAATCCCAGGGTCCAGGTCCAGATCTCCCCCACAAACGTCGTCATCCGTTCCGCCGACCCAAACAGTCCAACAACCCGGTTGCCTTGCCGCACGCGCGCAGGTATCCACGAAAGGCCACCTTTCAATCACCCGGCCTCTATTAACACATAATCCCGTCTAATCCTCTCCCACACAACATACACTCAAGTCCCCGAGTCCTTCAAACCCCGTACCAACTCGCGCAAAAGACACAGAAAAAGATGGAGAAACTCAAGGAAGCCGAAACAGTAGCAGCGCAACGCTTGCGCAAGACGTTCAAGTACCCGTCCGAATCCGACGATGAAGATACCGTAGAAGCGGGTATGGATGAACAAGGTATCCTTCCCTCTCCTCCATGCCCAATCCCCGCCTTGCTGACAGAACTCCACAGACCGCGCAGCCCTACTCCAAACCCTCAGCACACACGACACATCCACGACGCACACATATACGCTCTTCCTCCTTGCGCTACCCTTACTCCCCATACTCCTCTACATCCCGCGACTATTCGCCCTGTCCACCCTCCCGACCAGTCTAGTCTCTATCGCGAGTCTGCTAGCAACAGCGTATACGTTATATTTCCTGCCGCTACCGCCGACGCAGATGGAGCCAATCGATGGTGTGGACGTCACACCCTCGACACTCCAACAACCATCGAAAGGGAAAGGGCAGGCTAAGAAACCTCTGGGTGGATATGGAATCTACAACAAGACACCGTCGTGGGAACAACCGACTGAGAAGAGTGTAAGGCGGCCTGTACCGTACATATCGGAAGAGGCTGCGGATAAGATAGCGGATTCTATTGTGCCAATTAACAGGGCTGTGTGTGGGCTACTGGCGTTGTATGAGGTCTGGCAAGGGCGTGGCTGGGGTGAAGGGCTCATGGTGGGAGGAGGCTTCTTGCCGGGCGTAATATGCATGATCATCCTGTGGGCGAGGACGGAGTTGAGAATTATCGACATGGATACGTTGGAGAAGATGAACAAGGGTGCTGCACAGGGGAAAGCAAACTGAACACAGATAAACTGCGAGTTTTGGAGTTAAGTCATGGGACGGTCACGACTAAGATACCCATCCAGGAATGCATGTTCGGTTTTCTAGCTGTAATATCGATATCATTAGGTTGTATGTATTGGTGAAGGAATATGTCCGTGATCAATGTCATGTCGTGTCGAATGCAAAAGTCCAACGCTGCGCTGACTTATGCGGAGCTGTACCAAAGATGCCAAACCAACGCCGCGCTCGCTGAAAGTTACAGATTCCAAATTTCTCTTTTTGCGTAGCCAGCACTAGGCATATTATGGGCTAGCTTTTGGGACTTCAATGTCCGAGTCGATATCTATGCGTGTAATGTGCTCGAAGAGGTTTGAAGTTGATGGAAGAGGTTCCTAACCACGCTTCCAGAACTGGTAGTTCTTCTTTTGTGGCTTCTCGTTGGCTTCGCCGGCGACCATATTGGTGTCCCTGATGCCGCCTGCCTCTGTGCCAGCAGCGTCCATGTGGTACGCCTTTTCGTTGCCTCTCTTCTTGCCCTTCTTGACATCTCTCCTTGAGGCGCAGCAGCAGCAAAGCCCCATCTGTACTAGCCAGGCAAATATGGCGAAAGCACTTGCCACCCACATGAAGGCGAAGAGGGTGGTGCCTATCTCTGCCGATATGTTTAGCTCAGCCACACCACCGATAGTGTTGCGGAAGATGATGAACATGACGGTTGCGATGACCGAGGCGACGGTTACGAAGAGGGCGTTGAGGAAGGCGAGGATTGCGACGACGAGGGTAAGCCAGCGCGTGTAGATGGAGATGGGCATGACGAAGATGAGGACGAAAGACAAGACCGTTGCGGTGAGGAAGAGACCGAACATCCAGTTGGAGACGAGATGGATAAGGTCGAGAATGTCGTTGATGTCGGCGGGAAGGTTGACTGTAGACATGCATGTTAGTTACTCTGTTTCCAATGCATGATATCTAAGACTCGGGATGTGAAGCAGCTTACTCGAAGCCCCAGCAAGAAGCTCATTACGCAGGATTTGCACAGGATTGAACCAGTATAGCGTCTTTGGCTCACTGCAGAAAGTCACGCCCTCACCCGCGTATCCCTCGCAGAATCCCCATAGCCCAACTTGATAGAAATCATGCAGTCCGAGCGTTTGCGCGATAGTGTTGATAAGAGCGAAGTTCGGTACGCTGGCAGGCACGATGTGGCTCAGGTCGAGGCGGATGAAATACCAATTCTTAATAACGGCCTTGTTGCGTACACCGGAGATGTTGACCAGGATCAGGAAGATGAGTGTGATGAAGAGGAAGAAGGATGTGATGAGCGCCCATATTTTGCGTGTGCGAGTTGCGCGCTTGATTTGTTCTTTGCTGAGGTCTGGGGCGGTTTGCGTGACGGCGGTGTCGTCCGACTTGCGGCGGCGCGAGAAGATGCCCATGATGGACGACTCGGGGATTTCCAGGCGTTGAAAGGGAGAAGAAGCAAGGCGTGCTGCAGCGGAGGATTGTGAGAGAAGAAAGTGAACAAGCAATGACCGGGTCTCAGACGAACGACGTAGAGAGCGAAGATCCGAAACGTTTCGTCGATTGAATGTCCAGGCCAAGAATGCCTTGAATCCGGGGCAACGCAATCTCCTACGCGCGTGCAGCAGCAGTAGTCGTGTATTTTATGGAGCCTGGTCGAAGATCGCGAGCTATGACGTACGGGACCCCTAACAGCAAAACTAGACACCGCAAGAAGGCGCTGGCGACGCGGCGCCCTTCTCACCAACG